TCCGTCTCCCTGGTCTGCTGACCTGGGAGACGCGGAGCAAAGCCGCAGAGCACAAGCCCTCCATGGTCTCCCAGGCGCACCGCGGCTGTCCCACTGCGGGCATGCTCCAAGGCTTTGCTCCCTGTCTCCCTGCAGACCCGGGAGAAGACCAGGGAAACCGGGAGAAGCTTTTCTCGCCCCGGAGGACACGGGCGGCAACCTGCCGCCCGTGTCCTCCAGGGCGAGAAAAGCCCCGTTTGTAACTGCGGATCCGACGTAAGTCGGATCCGTGTAACTCAGGGACTGCCTGTACTTAAAGTTGAGCATATGCTAAGTATTGCTTTGACTAATGATGGTTTCCCAAATCAAGGCGTGAATACACGCGACAAAGTGAAGGGAAACTGAGGCACGGATAAATGGACTTGCCGAGGGTCCTCCAGCAGGTCAGTGGCAGAGCTGGAAATAGAAACTAGCTCTCCTGAATCCCAATCCAAACCATTTCCATTGTTGACTACGGCCCATGTTCTGATCTGACACACATGGGCATAAATACAAAGTAACTCAGCTGAAATCAATGGTGCTACTCTGAATCTACATTAATGTGACAGACACTGGAAGCTAGCCTTAAGTTGATAGTTTAGAAGTGGTGAAAAGAAGACAAGATAACGTTTTTGGTAATTTCCACTATTAGTTTTTGCTCCTTCAGAATTTGAATTCTGTAAGTTGAATAATTGCAGGTAGATTTCCTGCCTCCTGAGCCATAACAAAAACCAGACAGCTGTATTTGTTACTGTTTTGTAATATATTTTGCCAGGAAAACACAGCTTAGAGGTGCAGTATAACTGAAATACCTAGGCATTATTTATTCTTTTTAAAGTGCCTTAGCATAGAGTTGACCAAATCACAGGTCAATCCTGAGAGGATTTGGAAATCTAAGTTCAGTAAAGGACAATACAAGATGTTTTGGAAACTGAAGCTTAAGTGTCATGTTCCATAGAAAAGAAATTTAAAAAACAGGTTAATAAGATGGGGAGGTGGTTGCATTTGAGGTGTTGGTTAAATGCAATGCAAAACACATTGGCTACGTCTAGACTGGCATGATTTTGTGCAAATACTTTTAACGGAAAAGTTTTTCCGTTAAAAGTATTTATGCAAAAGCGCGTCTAGATTGGCACAGATGGTTTTGCGCAAAAGCGCTTTTGCACAAAAGCATCCGTGGCCAATCTAGACATGGTTTTGCACAAAAAAGCCCCGATTGCCATTTTCACCATCAGGGCTTTTTTGGGCAAAACAATTCTGGGTTGTCTACACTGGCCCTCTTGCGCAAAAGCATTTGCGTAAGAGGGCTTTTGCCCAAGCGGAAGCTTCATTGTATTTGCGCAAGAAGTACTGATTTTGTACATTACCAAGTCAGTGCTCTTGCGCAAATTCAAGCAGCTAGTGTAGACAGCTGGCAAGTTTTTGCACAAAAGCGGCTGCTTTTGCGCAAAAACTTGCCAGTCTAGACGCAGCCATTGTGTTTGAGAAGAAGAAAGGGCGGTCGCCTGAGAGACACCATTTGGGCATTCAAAGCACATAGAATCATAGAATACTAGAACTGGAAGGGATCTCGAGAGATCATCAATCCAGTCCCCTGCCCTCATGGTAGGACCAAGCACAGTCTAGAACATCCCTGACAGGTGTTTATCAACCCTGCTCTTAAATATCTTCAAGGATGGAGATTCCACAACTTCCCTAAGCAATTTATTCCAGTGCTTGACCACCCTGAGCCCTGTTCTACACTAGGACTTTATTGCGAAATAATCCCCCCCCCTTCCACACACACAAAGGTTCAATTTATAAGCAAAGGGCCCATACTCCCAAGCCTGTTATTTCAAAATAACAGGCTGTGAAACTTGAAATCTACACTCCTGCTTTTTTCAGGGAATAACATTAATTCCAAAATAGTTATTTTGAAATAACTGTAGTCTGGACACTCCATTGCTGCTATTTCAAAATAATTACTCCCCAGAGTAATTCAGACTAATTACTCTCCAGTGCTACCTGGGCTCTAAGATGAGGTAGCATGTCCCCATTAATGAAGCCTGCCTTGCACTAATTTTGAGGCTTTCCCAAAGTGTGGACATGCTAGTTTGGATTTGTTAAATTGGAAGTTAAGTCGAATTTAGTAAATTCAAAATAATTTCCTAGTGTAGACATGGCCTAATAGTTAGGAAGTTTTTTCTGATGTCCGACCTAAACCTCCCTTGCTGCAATTTAAGCCCCTTGCTTAGTCATAGAATCAAAATGGAGGTGACTGTGAGGATACAAAGGCCCTAATGCTTAAGTTCTATACCGGCACTGGTATCAAATGGAGTAGCTCTTAGTAACGACCTGATTTTTCCACCAAATTTCCATGCTGAAGTATAATTAAATGAAGTCACTTGCAGCAGGGGTGAGAGAACATAGAAACGGTCAAGTTTGCATTGGGATTAGGTTGATAATCACAATGTTGGAGACAAAATCAGAATTTGTGGGACTCACTGGTGGAATTTTCAAATGGGTTTAGGTGCCTGGTTTGCCCAGGCTCCTTTGAAAATACCAGCCTGAAGCCACAATTTTACTTTTTTTTTTTTGAGCACTCTTGGGATTGGGCCCCAGGAGCAAAGGCTCTTAAACTGTGCCTCCACAGTCTCCTTCTGCTTGGAATGCAGACTTTTTGTCTGGTAATAAGAATAAACTAGCTAATTTTGTCTTGCTTCCTGGATTCTGAGGATGGATGCTGAAATTCCACTGGCTTTACATTAAGGGTACGTCTACACTGCAATGCTATTTTGGGATACCAGAATATCCTGAAATAGCTATCCCGCATCTTCACAGCAAGCCTGTTATTTTGGGCTCGCTATTCCGACGTCCCTGTAAACCTCATTCTACGAGGAGTAAGGGACGTTTTGGAATAGCGCTTTATTTTCAAATTTGGTGCTGGGTAGGCAACGCCAAATGACAAAATAAGCTATTTCAAAACAGCAATGAAATAAGAGGCGCATTTTGAGCTACACAAATTGCATATCTTATTTTGAGTTGGGCTGCTGTGTAGACAAACCCAAAGGATGTAAGTGGCCTAGTGGTTCAGGCTGGGAGCTTTTCAGCGGTCAGTCAGAAGGAATTAGTTTGCCTTGTCCTTCTACACATAGTCCTGATATAGGATCTTGGGATTATCTTGACTAACTGCCTCTCCTTTGCAAGCTGGGCCATTGAACCTAGTTTACATGTAAGCCATTGAATTATTTTAAGTGTAACGTCATTTGGAGGTAGGTATTTATAAATACATTAAATTCACCAGCCTGTCATCTGAAGGGCTACAGCTACACCACAAGCTTTTTCCATAAGAGGAAATACAAATGGAGCACTCCGATACTTTTTTGTGGAAGAGGTTTTTGCACAAAAAAGTGCTGTGTAGATGGCGCCTTTTTGCACAAAAACCCCCTTTTCCCAAAAAATGAAGAAGGGCTCTTGCAAAAAAGGTTTTTTTGCGCAAAAAGGTGCCATCTACACAGTGCTTTTTTGCGCAAAAATCTCTTCCACAAAAAAGTTTCAGAAGAGAAAATGCAAATGAAAGCGTGACATATGCAAATGAACACTCCATTTCCTCTTCTGGAAAAAGCTTGTAGTGTAGCCATAGTGAAGAATTGGGTTGTGCCCACGAAAGCTCGTGATACCATCTACATATTTTGTTAGTCTTTAAAGTGCTATTAGACTATTTGCTGTTTTTAGTTTTTCCTGTTACAGACTAACTCGGCTACCCCTCTGAAGCTATTAAATTCATATACGCTCCTGTCACCTCAAGTGTTCAAACTGAAGGAAAAACCTTCTGTTATTTCAAGAGAAAGAGGGAATCCCTATTCTGTTCCATGGATTTTATATAATATTTTAATGAACAGACACAAAACTTATGTAATGTTTTCTGTAATTAATACAGTATGTGAATGAAAAAGGCAGCAGTTTTAATTAGTTACAGCAATTGTCAGTTACAACACAGTTTTAATTGAAGTACAGAGAGAGCCACATGAATGTCAAATATATTCATGAAGATCAACTTCACTGACTAGAACAATGAATGGATAATGATGGAACACCAAAAATAAAATGTCACGGAATGGAAGTAACCTGTATAAAAGGGCTAGGATGTGTTATCAGGATTACTTGATGTAGTACTGAACTTTATGATTAGTGATATGTTCATTACTGCTGGAATATAACTAGAGATTAGCCAGAATATAAACCATTTATCCAAACTTCCTTACCTTCATTCATTTATGTCTGGATCTGAAGCACTTCCATTCTGGTTTAGCAAAATCAAATGTGAGGTTTTTTTGCCCTTCTGTATTAAAGACAGAGATAAGCTAAATCAGAACCATATGCTTGAAACCCCTATCCTCCCTAAAATTGGATAAAATGAGATCCAAGACCTAATTTGGTATTACAAGACCCAACAGATGAAGTTTTCCAAACCAATATCAAGAAATTGTCCAGTTTTGTATATCAAGAGAGGGGAAATTGCCTTTGTTGTGCATTAACCAGTTAAGATCCTTATTCAATCCTAAATAGATTGTATTGAAATTGCAAATGAATTCCAGTTCAGCTGCCTCCCTTTGTAACTAGGTTTTAAAATTCTTTTCTGGAAGGATGGCTACTTTTAAATACATTACTGAGTGTTCAGGGAGGTTTAAGTGTTTCCTTATAGGTTTACGTGTCTTGCTTTTACTGATGTCTGGAAAGGAAACACGCATAAACCTGTAGGGGAACACTTTGGCATAGAGACTGTTCTGTTTGGCCAATGTACCAAGTCCTCATTGTTTTTTCAGATACAGACTAACACAGTTACCCCTCTGAAACTGTTCTGTTAATTCCCTCTGAAGCACATGCCTTTGACCACTCTTGGAAGACAGGATACTGGGATAGATGAAGCATTGGTCTCACCCAGTATGACCATTCCTATGTTCTACTGGTCCTATGTCCTACAGGTCAAATCTGATAGCAGACAGAGAGGCAAGGTTGAGCTCAGTGATTCATGCTAATCTAAATAGACTGACACAAGTTTCCTGGAACCTCAGGTGAGAGTAGGGAAACACTGACACAACAATGAAACTAAAACCTCAAGGATGTTTATTCCCTGTTTCTGGGGGTTAATGTGAACATTGAAATGATTTGAGTTTTACTGGCAAAAATTTCTCTGAAGAGAGAATTCCAAATTTTGGCAACAAAAGGACTTGTGTCAAGATAGAATTTGTTTTCTATTATTACTAGGGCACATTAGCATTAATAACACTGCCACCTGGTGGCTGGTAGCAACACAGATTTTTCTGCAGAAAATCGAGAAATTCTATTACAACTGCTGTAGTAAATTTTAGAGATGGACCCGATATAAAACTAACTATTTGAATGATATTTTTTGTGTTGGGGGTAGTGGTGGAATCAGAATTGGAATCTTATAGCTTCTGTAGTTTAAAATGTGCAAGTGGTTTCAATCCGTTCATTAATCAACACCAATTTTTACATCCAATGCTTAATTCAGAGAAATCATTGTTATTATTTTTCAAACACAGATTTTGTCTAAACCAGGGCTGGATTCTGCAACCCTACTTTACTTTCATTGCAGTCTCCCTGAGTTCAGTGAGACTGGATATGGAGTAAAGTACTTATTCTACATGCATAAAGGTGATTACACTGGGGCTACATCTAGACTGCAGGCTTCTTTCAGAAGAAGCTTTTGTGGAAGAGATCTTCTGAAAACAACGTCTTCCAAAAGAGAGTGTCTACACAGCAAAAGTGCATCGAAAAAGCAATCTGCTTTTTCGACAGATAGCGTCCACACTGAATGGACGCTCTCTCACATGTAAGATGTGATTACTATGGATGGAGTAGCCACCAGGGCACCTGTGCTTTTTCCTCTTTCCTCTTTTTGCGAAAGAACTCCCTCTTCCCTGTCCACACATGCCTTTTTCCAAAAGACCTCTTTCGCAAAAAGGCTTCTTCCTCATAGAAAGAGGTTTACCAACACCAGAAAAACCCCTCTGTTCTTTCAATTTACTTTCGAAAAAACGTGATTGCAGTGTGGACGTTACTCAGGTTTTGTCAGAAAAACGGCTGTTTTTCTGACAAAACTTTAGTGTAGACATACCCTGAGCTTTAGAAATTACGTATAATACGGTTTTTTTCTTCTTTAGACATACTGGATAGATCACATCCAAGGATTAGATGTACAGGTTGAACCTCTGTAGTCTGGCACTCTGGTCCGTCAGTATCCCGGTATGACTTTAGTTAGCCGGAGGTCCACTTATCATGTATGGGTGTGGCCACCAAGTTTCCAATAATCCCATGAAGTTTGTTTGCAGCCACCAGTCCTGGCTCTCAATGTTCTGTGCTGTTATTTACCTCTAATATATCCCTAAATGTCTTTTATGAGCCCAGGAAACAGTGGAAGTGTTGGTAATGCCGCTAGGAAATATTGACCTCCCAGAGTCTGACAAACTCTCTGGTTTGGCACCCAGTCAGGTCTCGAGGGCGTTGAAATAGAGAGGTTCAGCCTGCTTTATTTTATTGGGATTCATCATTATATAACAATTCCCTCAGCACAGGCTCTGTCCCTTGCAATGTCATAACACAGTTCATATGTGACGTCAGGACCACCATATGATGTGAGGCCTGCAGCCATACCAACATGGCTGTCATCTTGTCAGCTTTCAGACAACAGCTTCCCAGCAACTGAACTTAGAAGGGAACCAAATTACACTGTTGGCTTAACAAGTGGCAGCCTTTCCTGTGTGTCAGTACTCAGGGAGTTATGGGGTGGCTTCCTCCAGGCACCTCCTCCATACATTGTCACAAATAACAGGGCATATATTAGGCACCCGGGCACTGCCACCGCTCTGTACTGAATTGCACAGACAAGTCACTGTCCCTCTCTAGCAGGGATCTTGGCCGGATGCAATCACTCCCAAATCTCCTCTTCCCTGCAGCTCCTCACTAGCCCCTACTTAGGGAATTAAACCACATGGCACAGTGTGGCTCTTAAGCCTTGATTTTCTAAGGCTGACTCAAGTGCCAGTTGATTTCTACCGTGGACACTCAACACTTCTGAAAATGAGTTCTAACTGAATACAGGTAGGTCTAGGTAGCATTGTGGCCTAGAGTCAGACTCAGGCTAGCCAGGCTCATGCAAATGCTCTAAAAACAGCTGTAGAGGCAGTGCTTTGAAGTAGTGGCTTGAGCAGGAAATGAGGCTCTACCAGCTTGAATCTTTAATCATAGGTGTGGGAAGCAGTGATGCATGAGGGAAGGTGGCACCCCCAGGCTCCTCGCCTGGTACCTGTGGTCCCTGCTGCCACCCCGTGCACTGGGTTCTCAGCTGCTGGCTCTACACACTGGGTTCTCAGCTGCTGGTCCTACACACTGGGTTCTCAGCTGCTGCCCCATGTGCTGGGGTCCCAGATAGAGCCCCACACTCAAGGGAGGGGAGGTAGCAGAGTCCCTGGTGCAAAGGGCAGCAGCTGAGAAACCCAGGGTCTCAGCTGCTGGCCCTGCATGCTGGGGCTTTGCTCTCGTCCTCAGTTAGGGGGCAGAGGTGGACAGAGGCAAGGGGGCTCAGCACCCCCACTTTTAAAACCATTCCCATGCTACTGTCTTTAACTTCAAAGCACTGTCTAAACAGCTGCTTTAGAGCCCAAGTGACTAGAGACTTACTAGCCCAAGTCTGTCAGCCTGGGCTTCAAGGCTCATTCCCAAATGCTGTACAGACATTCTTCAAGGAAGTAATAGGTCAAATCCTTACTGGGTATTAATCCGCACCAATGGAACTGTGTGTGTTGACACCAGCTGAGAAGCTGGTGTGAAGTGTCTTTCATGAAAAATATGGAAAACCTTCACAGATATTCCATGTTATGTCTTGAGAACTTTCCCTCTACCTTAATAGGGGCATTGTACTACATAACATCCAACAACATATTTTAAATAAATCTCAGCTGCTTGAAATCAAAGAGGACTGTTTTTCACTATTAAGATCTTCCTTATTGTCAAGTGGCAATTCCCTTTGGCTTCTCTGTCCTTTTCTACAGGTGTAGATGTTCACAGAATCTATTGCTGACCCACGTTAGGGCCAAAGTCCTAAAAAATGCTCATTTGCATTTTCTGATTCCGCTGACAATGTATTCTACAATTAATCTGACAGCAAACAGAGACATTAATCTGGGGTTGTATAGCACTTGTACTTCCTGATGTGACTCAGGAAACCGTAGCTCTAAGGAAAAAGTGTTTAACCTTTTTGTCAGAGGTTAAACATATAAAAGGGGGATTTCAAGCTTTTATATTCCTGTTGTTGCCATATTAAAAGGAGCAATTGAGTGTAATTGTTTAATGGACTACGTTGTAGTAGATAATTATATATCTATGATGTTCTTCCACCTAACTGTTTTTTTTCTTTCCCTGTAACTGATTCAGAGCTGCCGTGTATGAGCCTTCTTAATATACGTGTTTCTTTGTATCTGATTATTTATAATAAAGTGCTATTAATTAATTATATTTGTTGCCTTGGACTGCTGCCCAACCCATTTCTGTATTTAGAGCTGCTCAGAAGTTTTCAAAGTTTGAAATGTGTATTACCCAAAACAGAGGTAGAAAAATCTTGTGAAAATTCTCCATTTTTTCAGCCAGCTCTATTTATGACTGTTGAGGATTTTTGTCTAAGAATTAATAGGTGTGAGAATGATATTGGTTTGCTGATCATGTGTAATGCCTTTTTGCATTCATAAATTACTGTTTATTCAATTATCTATTTACCTGCACTGTGCAAGCACGTTGGAGCCCTAGTCATGGACTAGGGCACATTGTGCTAGGTGCTGTACAAATGGAATAAAAACATGGCCTCTGTCCCAAAGAACTTCCAATCTAAGTAAAATAACAAGCTCCCTTTAGCTCAATCCTATCTTATTTTAAAGCGTTATCTCTGCTAATTTTTAAAGACACCCTGTACGTCAGACAGGATTTCTCTTTGTCAGGACAGATTTTCTGATTGCACACCAAGTAGTTGGAATTGTTTGAGTTTAGAAATGTCATCAAAATTTGAAAAATAAAAACATTCTAAAAAGCTTGTGAAAAGTTTTGGTTTAATGTCATTTGTTCACCACTTGCCTGTACCACTTGCTCAGCAATTTGGGAAAAGCGTGGGGGGAGGGGGAGAGGGAGAGTTTAGGGTTGGATTTTGTAAACCTTAATAATGTTCTATCTCTATTAATTCCCACAACGCCACAGGTGAGTTGCACAACCATTCAACCATTAATGTTAGTTCATCTACATATATTCTGAAGAGGCACATTTGTTCAAATTTATGGCTGTATCTGAAAAATGTAATTTAATCCAGTTGATGGCAGAGGACAATGGTTTATCCTCTTCAGTGGTCTTGGAATGATATATGTTATATATAGCTCAGCGTATCACTCATTGTGTCATCTCATTTTATGTACAGCCCTGATTTAGTGTCATTTTTTTCACACGAGGGATGGACTCTGAAATGTACCTACTGATCTCTGATGTTTCTTGTAAATTCTTGGCATATAGGGCTCAAACAGTTAATCTGTTAGGATCTGAAATCCATATTTAACAGAGAGATATAGCCTGATTTTCAAATGTGTTGAATATCTAGGAGATACTATCGAATTCACTTCTGAAAATGCTCCCAGTTTTATTTAGGTATCTAATTATGGCTTTAGGAGCCTGACTTAAGACATCAGTGTTTGAAAATGTTGAGCGAGGAGTCTCTTTCACAAATAGGAATGGAGACATTCTTTCATCTGTTACCAAGAAGACAATTTATCTTTGTCTGATGGAATGGAAGAGAATGCTAGCAACTCAAGCTATGGTTGCAAGGAAGAGGAAGTTACATGGGGGGAAACACAGCCTTCCTAATAATAATACATAATAGTTTACAGCTTCTCTCTGAGGATCTCAAACACTGTATAAATCTAGCTAGCTAGATATTTCCATAGTCTTTGCTACTGATGTCACTAAATTCTTCAAGTCTGTGACCCAGTCAGGATCAGAACTCGGTCTTCAAAGGGTCTGTCCAGTGCCTTAATCATAAGGCCACTTTTCCTCAGTGAGTTTGAAGCTCACCACAATCCCCTATGTGGCATTCCTACCCCCTCCATTTTACACATAAGGAAACTGAACTACAGAGAAGCTAAGTGAGTGGCCCAGAGTCATTCAGCAAGTCTGTGGGAGAGCCAGGATTAGAACACATATTAACCACTATGTACAGGTTTGCTCCTGAATCGCTGTTGCCTAGGGCCTCAATTCTGCCATATAGTTAGATTGTTGTTACCTGGCTTGCGCTGGGTTGCTGCTCTCTAGGATTGTGTGAATAGGTGGTTCCAGATACAAGACCTACAGGGTTGGAAAGACAGAGTTTTGCAGGGGAGAATAGGATAAAAAACCAACCACAACTAGAAAATAAGAACAATTTTTGAGAGAATGTCCAGGGCTGGCCTTACCATGAGGAGAACTGAGGTGGCCACCTCTGGTGCCAGACTGTGGTGGTGGTGGTGGGAGGGAGGGGGAACCACTAAAACCCAGAGTGTAGAAAATTGTGTCTGCTGCTGGTGCATATGTATTCTCTCTGCTCTAGATGCACAGAGATGGTGGAGTGCCATGAGAGGAGTAGAACAGGAAGAAGGAAGAATTGAGACCTTTCAAAGTTTAGGCCCAAAAGAGGAGGCATGGAGGTGTCATTTGAGCTCCCTGCCTCAGGTGCCAAAATGTCGTGGACCAGCTCTGAGAGGGTATGTCTACACTAGCACCCTAGTTTGAACTAGGGTGGTTAATGTAGGCAACCGAAGTTGCAAATGGAGCCCGGGATTTAAATATCCCGGGCTTCATTTGCATCTTGCCGGGCGCCGCCATTTTTAAAGCCACGCTAGTTCGGACTCCGTGCCCGTGGCTACACGCGGCACGGAGTAGGTAGTTCGGATTAGGCTTCCTATTCTGAACTACCATTACTCCTTGTGGAACGAGGTGTGCCGGTAGTTCAGAATAGGAAGACTAATCTGAACTACCTACTCCGTGCCGCGTGTAGCCGCGGGCACGGAGTCTGAACTAGCGGGGCTTTAAAAATGGCGGTGCCCGGCAAGATGCTAATGAAGCCTGGGATATTTAAATCCCGGGCTTCATTTGCAACTTCGGTTGCCTACATTAACCACCCTAGTTCGAACTAGGGTGCTAGTGTAGACATACCCTTAGTGTTCATAGACATTCTGTTAAGTTGTTATCGGCACATTCATAAACTCATCCTAAAAATGTCACGGCCCTTAACTGAGCAGGACATATCTCTGCTGACAAATTGAGGGAAATTTGCACTAAAGAAAATGCATCATGTGAAATTAAACCTGTAATAGTGGGCCAGCCAAAAACAACATAATGGAACAGGAATTACTTTAATTTAACAGTATCATAACCTGGAGTTCAGGGCAGATTGAACAGAAGCATTAGTAGCTGTAAAATTATTATCTATTTTAATAATCAAAATTATGGCAACACAGAAAGCCCACCCGAAAGCAAGCCAAAATCTCTTTTAGTCTGGTCTAATTTTCTTCATTCAAAATATTTATCTATTGAACATTTATCAAATAAAAACCAATGTAGTGATATGACCTATACTGCAGACTTTAGGCCCATGAATAAATCATATATTACAAAACAATTCAAAGCTGTCACAATGTCATTGCTAAATTACAGGAACTGTGGAGTAGTTTTGATTTTCCGTGGCTCTTTTACATGCTTCAGTTGCTGCAACTTTGTCTTCTTGTGTTATGCAAACTGGGACTGGCTGTGCTTTCTTTAATTACATCACTTTAACTGAAAGGATGAGAGTAACCACAGGGAATCATGCTGTCGAAAATCTGTGCGTCACCCCATGCATTTTTTCTTCTAAATCATCATTATAAAACCTCGGGGTGCCAAATTTTCACCCTTTGCAAAGCCTGAGTACATGAGGTTTTGTGTGTGTGTGTATGTGTGGTGGGGGTGGGGGGCTACTACCATTCAGGATGGACTCCTGACCCTCTAACTTGGAGTCAAAGTACAGAGCAGCAAAATACGCCACAACTTTTAGATTATAGTACTAGCCTTAAGCTACTGTTGTGCTATTATGGGGGACGGAGGTGGGGCTTTGAGGAGGTAGATGTATGTAGTTTGAGAACTTCTGGACAAGCATCAGCCCTTCCTCCCACTTGCATCAGCCTAATGTGGAGGGAAGTAATGAAGAATAGAGTCACACTGCATGTGTATCTGGAGTCCCTCTACATAGCTTCTCTGTGGCTTGCACCCATGTTAATTTAAGGGTCTTGTACACTACCACAAAGGGGGCACAATTTGCTCCTAAATTAAATACTTTTGTGCACTTCTTCATCGTCCCAGGCTTTCCCCATCTCCAGTAATAAAGCCAGACATTGAACTGTCTTAACTTCCTGGGGTCTGCTATACTCATTCCCTTCTCTTAGCTTTAACAAGCAGCATCTTTTAACCTACTCTCTTGAACAGACCTTTCACATTTTCTTTCCCTCTTTCTAGGGATCCTTAGTACCACATTTGCTTTTTCATATGGAATGGGAAGATCCTTGCTTAGAGGCGAAGCACCATCTAATGCTACCTTGCCTGAAGAATACCAGCGTGTTAATGTCCGCTATAGAGTGATGAAACCAATATTGAATTAACTGAATGGAAGCAAATAGTAACAACACTCTGCTGTCCGAGTTCAAGTTAGGGGTGGGGGGAGAGAACTGACAGTTTTACTATGTTCTAAGATGACTGACTGCACACAAATAACTTGCTGTTGTGACATTATGCTAGGATGTGATGAATCTTAAGTTGCACTGCAGTGTGACACAGCACCATTACCAGCAGAATTACTATGTAGCAATTAATAATAACAGTGGTTCAATCACCCTTGGGACTAGCCTTTTAACCTGGCTCTGTGTTTAGCTGCTGGTGTTGAATAGTCAAGAATTTAAAGCTGCCCTGACGAATTCCTGACCTAAGAGTCTGTCACAGAATGGTAGAGAATCTAGTAGGGATTCAGAATGAAGGCAGTGATGTCTCCTCATTCAAATGGAAGAAGACATGCTGGGACCTTACGTTGGCAGCCTCGTGCACCATGCTTGAGATATTCACAAGTAGCCTGCGAAAGTCTGATATCCTGGTCATCTCTAATTTTATATACACTCGCACACGGTGGATCTAGAGTTCTAAGCTTCAGTAGGCACCAGTTATTACCTATCTTGCCATTCAGTGAAAGCAAAGCATTTTAGCAAGTAGATATGCATGCTGTTTGATATAAGCTGTCGCCTCCATATGCCGTGGATCCAGAGTTTTTGCTGAAATCCTCCTAAAACAAGTCATCAGGCAAATACAACCCAGCATAGTAGGTTTTTTTGTTTTTTTTGTAAGAGCCAAGGTATCAAGGAGAGAGGGCTCTGAGGTTAAAGACATGGCACTGGGCATTTTGTAAGAGCCAAGATATCAAGGAGAGAAGGCTCTGAGGTTAAAGACATGGCACTGGGCATATTTGGTCCAGGTTACATGCTATGGTGTTTGGGAAAAGGGAGGTATCAGTCCCAGAATTAGCTTTTGTCATTCAGTTAATGGTAAATGATATATATTGAGGCTTGTATTGGGAAACACCCTGATGCAGAAAAGCTCTTATGGATGTAAGTCATTCCATTGGCTTCAACGAGACCGGTCACATATTTAAGTGAAGCATGTGCTTGAGTGTTATGCTGTCTGCATCAGGAACCAGGCTCTTGCACTACCTAACCGTATGCCAGTTCTCATGACTTCACTGGGAATCTTGCAGTACCTGGTCTCTTCCTTAAAAGTCTCCCTCATGGATCATAGAATCATAGAACCATAGAGCTGGAGACAGGATGGCACGGGAACCTCAGCGTTCCTTTTAAAGCAACGAGTAATCTTCCAATTTTTGTGATTGCTGAGAAAAACTGGGAAGTGTGAACCCCAAATCTCAAAAAACAAAAAGGAAAGATCTCAAATGTAACCATCTCATTTTTATGCTAATCTTGTGATTTTTGGAGGCCGGATGGAGGAGTTTTGAACATGTTGGGTTGGCAGTATTTCCATGATGAGAAGGAGCAACCAGAAGTTTAAATCTGGAAAACTATATCCTTGAAGGAATGGGGAATAGGCTGGAGGTATCTTTCTCATGCAGGTGACCTTTGTGTCCCATTAAGTATCACATTTGTTCTCTTCCATTAATCAATTTTTTTTAGTATAGTCTTATACATGGCAAATTTTCTTGTCTTTCCATCCTCCTTAAGGAGATCTTACTTGGCTGTCTCATATATCCTCCAGTATTAAATACTGAAATACCTTCATAACACTAGGTTAATCCCCATATTAGTATATTCATTGGGAATTTGGGAATCAGGAGATCAGGTCTCATTTCCTAGCTCTATCGTATACCTCCTGTGTGATCTTGGGTCTGTCTATGTTTTCTGTTTTATTAGACTATAAGCTCATTGGTGCAGGGACTGTCTCTTACTATGTGTTTATATTGCACCTTTACGCTCAGGCATGACCATAAAACAATAATAAAATATCAGTAATAAGTTGTCAGGTGGGATAGGCATGTCTCCTTCTAGTTGTCTTTGCAACAAATTTAATAGTGAGAATGTTGTCTTCTCTGGAAAACAGGCATTTTAAGTGACCCTTCATATTTATTTTTTTCTTTATCATTATAAATCTCTTCCAACTCCCAAATATAAAAAAGACTCATTGGTGTAGAAATTGAACTTTGAATCCCGGGGCTGGCTTTTCTGCTGCTGTAAATCAGCAGAGTTCCACTGAAGTCAAATGTCAATGTAGAGCCTAATTAAATACACAATACACTTGTCTTCTTGCTTCAGTATTTAAGGGGAAAGGAATTTCTTGGACAGCCAATTCTCCAGTATTTCAGTTGCAGTGACTTTTAATTGTGTTTCTTTGTAATTAGGCGTTTCCACATTTGGAAATCCTTTTGCATTGTCACATTAAAAGATGTCATAATTAAATGCTGTTATACATATTCAGCCTTATTGTATAAAACATAATGACCCTGAGCTTTTATCTCAAGAAACTCAAGTTTCAATACAGCAAACCCAGATGACGAATGTGAGTTGATCTGGAGAAGAAAGGAAACAGATGCATCCTCTTATTCTTAACATAAATTGTTGGCTTTTACTTTTTAGTTGAACTGCAGTCATATCTTTCTCTCAATCGAGTGCAGAGGAAAAGAGTAATTAGCAAAGTATTACAGTTATTATTATTTCCTGATATTAACTCTCCTGCTACTTGTCCATCTTTTTTGCAGGCAGAAGAATGCAACTTGTGTATTTAGAATTCAAAATGGGTTTTGTGTTGTTCGTTTTATCGAGTCAGTTCTTTTCTATATATATTGTGCCACTTAAACTATATTGGTATAACTAAAAAAACAGCAAAGGGTCTAATAGCACCTTAAAGACTAACAAAACATGTAGATGGTATCATGAGCTGTCAATAAGTGGGTTGTACCCATGATAGCTCATGACACCATCTACATGTTTTGTTAGTCTCTAAGGTGCTACAGGACCATTCATTGTTTTTTAAGTTTTTTCTGTTACAGACTAACTTGGCTACCCCGCTGAAGATTTTATATTGGTATAGTTAAGGAGGAACAATTCACCCTAGAATGGAGAGAGTTATAGCAATAGAAAGGTGACATACCTTATAAGTACAGCTTATTTATCTATGGGGAAAGGAATAAATTATACAAGCATAAAGCACTTTTATACCAGTACAACTGTATCCATATGAGGTGGAATTCTACTGATATAACTATTTGATGTTAAAAACAAACAAACAAAAAATCTTTACTGAAACAGTAATATTGGTACACAATTGATTTGTGTACCAGGCAGGGAACTGGGGGAGTTTGCCCACAGTAATATGGAAATTCAGTAGTAAATCCAGGTCTGCTGCCACCGGTGGCATCTGCCCTGGGGCCCAGCAATTATAAAGAGCGCCACCCCCTTTAAACTGACTTCAGACTTAATTCTATGCCACCCCCTTTAAACTGACTTCAGACTCTGACACTGACTCTGTTCAGCATGTTCCAGGTGGCTCTAAAGGCTTGGGGGAAGCATGGCACACTCCAGGCAGCACAGAGGATTAGCTGTCCCAGCTCTTCCACCCAATGCAACCCATGCAGGAGCACGGAACCAGGATCCTCCTACCCAATATGTTGCCTAGGGGCCTGGCATGGCTGTTAGCTCCCCTGAGTACATTCAAGATTTGAACCTATAACCACTATAGGCTAACCCAGGACTGACAAGAAGTCCACCTTTCCTTTGCAGTGCTGATCACGAAGAACAGGATGCCAATGTGCTCCAGCCCTCTTTGCTTGCACTGTTGTAATTCTGTCTGAACATTCCCAGCCAGGTTTAATAAGCACACCAGCCCTTCAAACATCTGGTGAGAATAATTATTCTAGACAGACACCTTAGTGTAAGGAGGAGACTAGTCGTTATCTCTGTATATATAAAATTTTTTCCTGCAGAATGACAGAGTGAAGCCATCACATCATAGCATCCAAAGGCTGGGGGGTAGGCATGGGCAGATAACCCCCAACCCCGCCCCTTCCACCAGAGACCCTGGCGCCAAGCGCCACCCACTGCCAGCCTGGCCCTCTCCGGCAGCCATGTGGAGAGCCGGGGCTGGTGTGCTGCGGCCTCGGCCTTCCCAGGCCACCAGGGGCAGTGACAGGGCTGATGTGGCCTCGACCAGGTGGTGGGGGTGGGGTTTAGGGTTAGGCCTCAGCAGGGGAAGATGACGATTTTGAGGGGCCCAGGGTAGCACAATTTCGCGGGGCCCCCCCTTTGACACGGCGCATGCGCGGGGCTTCTTGAAACCTGAGGCCCGGGGCAGCCGCCTCACTCGCCCTGCCCTATATCTGCCCGTGGGCCTCAGCAGTGGGGGAGGAGAGGGAATGAGCCAGGGCTGCTGTGGCTGGGGGGGGGGGGGCAGGCACAGAGAGCTGGGAAGGGGAAGGAGGCTGCTTGGGCAGGAAGTGGCAGGGCCCAGGGCGGGGGGGGGCGGGGGGGGGGGGGGGGGGGGGGGAGAGACGGGGCTGCCACAGCCCCAGAGAGAGGGGGTTGGCGAGCATAGCAAGCAGGCCCCTAGTTTTTTGTAATGGGCTTTGGCTGCATCACTTACTCCTTGTGAAATGAGATTTTCAGCTTCCTCTACAATCATGATAATACTCAGTGCAAGGCAAACACCAACATTTGTGTTATTTCTCAAATAAACAACCTAGTGTGCACTTTTTCTCAGTGTATTACAAAACTAGGCACCTTAAGGTTTTTATGAGAGGATGTTGTTCGTATATATTTGTGGACGAGTCGTGCGGTGTGATCACCCCCTACCGGGTGGGCAGGGGGGCTCAGCGGACCCCTTCGTCCTCTAATTGAGGCCACGGTCGGGATCCCCGGTCGTGCGTCCCGTCAGGTGGGTGCGATCACCCCCTCCCTACCAGACAGGAGAGGGGGGTTCAGCGGACCCAGTGTCTATACCCCGCTTTAGTGGGGTTGGGACTTGCGCCCCGAGCCTGGCCCCTCAAAGGGGCGATACCCTGGCCGGCCCTGCTGTCCGGCCACCGCAGTTCACCTGTTTGTGTGCGTTCCGGTTCTGAAAGGGGTTAGGTGCTCATGGGGGATTGGGAGGGGGACCTGGGCCCGCTCTCTCTCCGGGTCCCAGCCCGGAGCCATAAGTGCAGGGGCTCGTTGTCGCCCCTGCACGGTAGACGGGGGGTGTTTCCTCCCGTAACACGTCTGCCCACGGTCGCCAAAAGGCTCCCGCCCCGGGCTGCTTCCTCCCTTCCCCTGGCCCCTGGAGCACCCTTGCTGTTCCCCAACTCCTACCGGGATTCTGGGGTCCGGGGTTGTTCCGCAGGAGTCCTGTGGGTCCTTCTGTTCTCACGGATCTTCTCCTGGCCGAGCTGCTCTTTCCACGGAAGGCCAGGTTTGTCCTGGTTGTCCTCCGACCTGGGACTGGCCAACTGCCGGCTGCGGGGGCTGTCCTGGGAGCCCCTGGGATGGGGACGGGCCGCCTGCTCATCTCGGGCATGCACCCGGTCCATCCTGGGCCCCAGTCCGTCTCTACCTCCCTGGGAGGGGGCTGTCCCCTCCCTCTCTGCTGGCAGGCCTTTTTAAAATGGCCCGCCGGGCCGAACGCGATCCGGAGGCCCCGCCCCTCTGGTGACGTGGTGGCTTCCCCAGCCAAGTCCTGGCTGTCACTCCCCACAACGGTCACTCCCTGATCCCTCCCAGGGGAGGGGGCCGGTGGCCTCCCGCTGGCGCAGGCGCAGTGTCAGGTTCCGGCCCCACCGCCATTCTCCGGCAGCCCCGCAGCGCGGGGGGTTCTGCCCGTGGCCCCGCTCATCTCCCAGCGACTCTGGCCATTTGGCGTGTGGGCCGTTGGCGGCCTTTCACAATATTACATTCTTTTTATAAATACTAAGTTCCAAGATATATTGGGAAAAAAAACCTGTTGCACTTAGAGAGTTTTATTCAAGCATTTATCTATTCAATGTGAAAACATTCAGGAGCCTGTTCAGTCCCTTTTCAGCATTCTGGATCAAATTTTCCTTCACCTTCTACCATCACATGATAATCTTCCGTCATCAGCAGTTTATCATCTTCTCACACTGTGTTTTACATGCCATGCCAAATATTAATGAATAAAGCCAGTGGGCTAAATTCTGTTCCAAGTTGCACTGATGTAATCCTGCTACAATCAATGGAGTGGTAACTATAAGCAAAATTTCCAACATCAGGACACTGCTGTACATGAAATATCCTGGTTATTCCTCTGAGGCAGACCTGAATTTGTAGGGAGAACAAACGCAGAAGCTCCTTTATCTGAAAAGCAGATCCTCTCTCTTCTGCAGAAACACACATGTTGTCATGTCCGCATATTTCTTGCAACTTGTAATTCTGACTCCAACCTCCCCCCCACCCTTAATAGCAGAAAATAGAGGCAACATGATGTAAGTTGTAGTATTTATAGAGCCTTGGTCCAAAAATTGGTCCTGCCTCCCCATGACAGACTGCTGTTAACAGTTATCTATTGAGCCTTTTGGAAGCCACCCCCTAGCCAGTTAGGGTACAGCTACACTGGAATAAAAGACTCCTGGCATGGCTTAGCTGTCTTGGGACAGATGACGTGGGCTCATTGGGCTGAGGCTGTGGTGCTAAAAATTGTTGTGTCAATTTTCAAGCTTTGGCCTTTATTCAGAAGGAATCACTTAGGGTACGTCTACACAGCAGGGCTAAAGTTGAATTAAGCTATGCAACTTCAGCTTCGTCAATTGCATAGCTTAAGTCAAAATAGTTTAACTTGGCTTTTGGTGCTGTCTACACAGCCAGAAGTCGAAGGAAGATCACTCTTACTCCTCATTTGTTACAAAATCAGACCGGGAGAAGGCAGGTATATTAGTCCTAGAATGCTAAAGGTTCTTTTCCATCTGAGCTGAAAAGGGGGTACCTCTGGTCAGTTAGGGACATCTAAGTCCAACTAAGGGTTGCCTGAAGACCCTGGGGCTTAGTTATTCCAAGCCTCCTGCCCCCTCCCCATTGTTACTGGGTGAAACACTGAGCCCAGCAAGGTGAAGGAAGTATCTTGCCACACTTTTCTCCCCACTCCACTGAGCTTCCTGTGTGCCACTTTCCTGTCCCCCTCTAGGTCAGGGTCATCTAACTTCCCAGTTCCCTTCCCCCTCCCTCCAGGCAGGGGTTCTGTGTGCTCCCCATTTCCTACTTTGTCCAGGTTTTTTTAAAACAAGTGAACAAATTGCTACATAGTCCTGTTTTTTGTTTCAGATACACCAGACTAACACGACTACATTTCTGTCACTAAATTGTATTATGTGCAACTTTAATCTCTGTTGGCTGCTGGTGGTTCCATGTGCTGGGTCCAACCCTACCAGCTGGGACTACCTCTCATGCTGTTCGAATTTAGACAGAATGTGTATAGGGAATACATCTATTGCTCCCGCTATGAAAGGAAAGCATGTATATTGCAGTGCAAAGTATCAAAACTGCAGTCTCCGAGCTGGCAGGAAATTTAATTTAGTACATGGGATTCAATGCTCCTCAGATTAAATGCTTTATTCAGATCAGAATGAATGCCTCATGATTGCCTTATCAACTGAAACATGCTTGGGGTGCCAGCCTCCAAGCAATAAAGGCCGTGATATACTACTGTACGCCACAAAGGTCTTTCTATTCCTTCCTCTTGTGCTGCTATAAATAGTACAGCTAAAGCAGGAAAGGAACCAAGCCCAGAGTTTCCAGTGTCACTTGTGCCCATTTAGCTCAAGCACAAAAAACTTCTTCCCCCAGAATCTGTAGATAATCTAACAGTAGTGATGCAGGAAAGTGAGCAAAAAACAAATGACATTGGTCCAAGCATGGGGCCTGTGGTGGCATTTTCCCTTCCGTGCACTGAATATTAAGCTTATTCATGTACTTGACTTTAAAATGATTTTTACTTCAATCAAGCGAGAGTGGCTTTGGAGAAGTGTGGGTTTTCCTCCACAGATTTCATTAATATTTTGTTTTCCATGGGTGGTTGTGGTTCTTCTATAGCAGAGAGAAAACCAAAATCCTAACTATGACACTCTAGGGTGGAATCCAGACCAGTGAGGGGGTTGAGACATCACCTGCCTTGCAAAGTGGCTTCCAACCTGGGCCCGTCACAAACAGCATGTCACTCACAACCTGAGCGTTTGTGTGTAACTGCAGTCTGCCAGCATAGTTCAGTCACACTCTGGCTTCCACCAGGCTTGGTTATTACTTGCAAGGTGACCCCAACATGGCAATGAATTCCCTCCTAAAAATGTGTTCTGAGCTGACCAGCTCTCTCCTATACAGTTCAGCTATTGTAGTTCCATTGCTCCTCAACACATAAGAGTTTGCTACTATAAATGGAGTTACTGACATCATTCTATTGAAACACAACACTGGATTACTCTTAGTTAAAGAATAAACCAATTTTATTTGACTACAAAGAGATTTTAAGTGAGTACAAGTATAAAGCATTGAGATCAGAAATGGTACAAGAGAAACAAAGATAAAACAGTTTCTAATACTTAAACTAGATTTGGTTCAAGGTGAAAGCCCATATTCACATCTTTCCAATAACATTGCTGACCAAATTCTCAGGCCAGGATTTGCTCCCAAAGTTTGTTTCTTTTGTCTTCATAGCAGAGAGGGAGAGGGACAGAGAGATACCGTGGGGTATTTTGCCCCTCACTTTATAGTCCAGACCCTCTTTTGAAATACATTTTCCTGAGGATTACTCTTATATAAAGTTAATTTCTGCTGTGAAGTTGGAGTCATAAAGTCTTGTGGTCTAAGAAATTTCATGCTGCTGTTTGCTGAGATGTAGATCTGTTTGTTCTGCCCTCAGTATTGCTGAAGAATGGCCATTTGATAAATAATTGCCCATCGATTTTGATGATGCATAGCTGGAGGCATCAGCGTTTCCATTGTCTTTGAGCAATTGTCCGGTAAACATATTTCAGACGTAATTTCAGTTTATGTTTGTAACTTTATATATAATGTTGTTACACCCATTTCACCATCCTCCTTGTAAAAATACAAAAATACAAAAAGTGGGGGAATGTAATAGGAAGAGAGTATGAGACATAAGCCCTTATATCAGAGGCCTCGTATGAGGTAGGACCAGCTCACAAGATGAGGTAAGAAACAGGCTGATATTAAAGCAATCCACATTCCTGGAAAGTGCTAGTCACAGAGCAAACACATCCCAATATCAAGTGGTGCCAGAGCATCCCAATACCAGCGAACATTTCTCAAGTGTAATAGGAACATGCTGACCCCTCCTAAAAGATAAGGTCAGGATGACAGTATGTAATAGAGATTCTTTGATGAAACCAACATGTACAAGGTGATGGGTGATAACTAGCCACGCCAGGGAACAGTGATTAAGTATGTCAGAGGGGCAGTGCTAACTTGTTTGCATCAAGGTATAAAGATGTATCTCTGAGGGAGAATCTCTGTCAGCTGAGGGGGCAGTGGAAAGTCCCATGACTAACTGAGCTGAGTCCATTGTTATGGAAATACATCTTATAGCAGTGTTTCTTAAACTTTTTAAGACCGAGGAACACCAAACAATAATTTGTTTTTATGGGGAACACCAAGGATTACTTTGTTGAGAAAAAAAAAAAGCCTCCAGGGAAAAGCTGTTGAGAAAAAAAAAGGAGTCTTGCCTCTTTAAGGGCGACCATTCCCCAGGGAAAAGTTGTTGACCAAAAAAAAAAAAAAAAAATCCCCCAAGAGAAAAGCTGTTGACCAAAAAAAAGAAAAAAAAAGGAGGCTTTTCCCTTTAAGGGCAGCCATTTTTAATTCTGTTTTCTCCGTGGCACACCTCCAACTGCCTCATGGCACACCAGTGTGCCACAGAACACACTTTAAGAAACGCTGTAATCGTCTCCTTGCAGAGTGCCAGGTGCTATTACTGTGCTTCATTGACAGTAAGCCTAGCCTGGTGCCTTCACGCCTTAACTAATCTTGTGGTCATTTGGCACTTCACTTGAGGTCTGCTATGCTGGCTGTCTGCACAGACCTGGGGCAGCGCACAGAGAGAACACACACACACACACAGCTGAACATTTGAATATATGTCAACAAAAACATATAGAGGTGAGTTCTGAGTCTTAAAGAAACCAAGCACAGGAATAAAAAAACACAACATTGGAGCGAGTGGTAGATTTAGAGTTAGTGGGACCTTGTGCTCAGTTCCATTTTTGGGGCCCCTTTGGGGCCCCAGCCAAGAAAAAGAACATTCACTCTTCCTGCTCCTCCAATTTTTCATTTTTTTCTTCATCTTCCTCCTATATTATAAGTAATAAGTAAATGAAAATAAAGTGAGGTACCTTGATTGTTTTTGTAGTCTAATTTTTTTTTCCACAGACCACTTGAAAATTGCTGAGAGTGTTGGTAGACCACTTAAT